GAGGACACAGCGCAGAGGGGCAGGAGCAGGACTTCTCGCAGAGGGTTGCGAGAAGAAGGTGGTAGTCATCTGAATATTTTTGGAACAACCAGCTTTGTCATAGTCATGCACAGTGCCATATTGTATTCTCAGTCCAAGTTTTAATTCCTTGTCTTAAATTGAGTTAGCTTACGTTTTTAGCAAATCTTAGGAATCATTAAAACTCAAACAATCAAATCCTTTTGTAAGGAAGCCTACCTTTGTACGCTGCTATTATAAGATGAAAGCACATTCTCAGTGAAAGCACACCTGTAAACTCAAGTGCTATTGTAAAACTAAATGATATGGTGGAGTAAAATTTGCATATTGGCTGCATTTTTGGCACATCATCCTCATTCAATTGCTGTTTTGCACAAGGCTTAACTCATACCTCAAAGTTAATAGTAATGCATCTATGCTATTTATCCCTGATGTCATAAACTCCTTGTGTGGCTCTCAAGTGAGGTCACCCTGGTCTCCCTCACACAGCAGCAGAAAAAGCTGCTGCCGTGGTTAACGCAATCTGTCTTGAAGTTAATTGAAAGAGCTACCAACACTGAAACATAACTCCTCTCATTCTGAAATGTCCACTTTGTTTCCCACAACCAGCAGCACTGAAATCAGACGTCCAAATGGTTCTGATGTTTCTTTAAAGGCCAGTGAATCAAGTCAGCGTAAGGTTACATGGGGAAAGGTGGCAGATCAGAAGAAGGAGCCTTACTCTTTCTTCCTTAACTGATCTTGGTTTTGGCTCAGGCAGTGCTGACAAGTGTTACTGTTACTTAGAGGAAATTAAAATGTGGTCAAATAATAGTCATAGTCAAAATTTGGTTTGTCGACCCTTTCGTTGAGTGTTGTTGAGGTAAAATCCATTTGAGTTAAGACATGGAGTCGTTGTGTCTGCCTAGCCAGTTGTGGATGAAGGATTGTTTTTGGTTATTGGAAGTACTTCAATTCAATTCAATATATTTTAGCATAACCCTGAATCACAACAGTAGTTATCTTGGAGTAGATTCGCAGACACAGCCCTGTGAATGAAAACAGTTCAAACACAAGACATACAATGATACAAAACACATAGAGGCATTAGTCCATAAGGGGCAGATGGCTTATGTCCATAAATATTGAAAAGTCCATAGATAACATTGTTATTTTTTCATTTCATTGCATAGTCGAAATGCAGCATTTCCTCCTAAAAACAAAGGAAACGCCTCACCATACCACAGACATTTGTGGTTTTTCAGCTCTGATTTGTGTGGATGTTGCAAGGCTGTCTACAGAAATGACAGTCTAAACAGAAACTTTGAACTCTGTGTTGGTTTAGGGTTTTCAATCGAGAGACTACAATGTGGCCATGTATTGTTAAATCAGGCTGAAGTGTTCTCCTGAGCGTCTTGGCATGTGCTGGTGGTGAGGGCCCGATTCAGCATGAGCGTTGGGTGGCAGCTCTGATTGACCCATAAATTGATTCCTAAACTGTATGATTATGAATTGATGAATTAATGTTGGATGTTAAAACACAAATTGTAAATGTGAGGGACAACAAGAACTCTGATTTCACTTTTCCAGGTGTATTTCTACTGAAGCATAATTGTATTTAAATAATATTTGTAAGACATACGTTGCATGTAATTATAAGTCAGGCATGTCTAATAGCACTGTCCCTGGATTTCTAGATAGATACAAGTGGGTGCATCTGGGATTAAAAACAAAGGGTAAAAAAGTTATTGCTCCTTGAAAGGTGCTCTTCAAGGACTGGGCTATTTAACAATAGAAGGACATGAGATGGCTTGTTAGAAGAGGTACTCCTTACTTTGTGAAAAAGTATTTTATTAGAAATTGTCAGAAGCCTGTGCATTTCGATACAAGGTCTTCTTCAGGGTTTTTGTTTGACACGGTAGAGTTAGTGCCAATCTATCTTTGACTGCTGCACTTTTCTCTGATTCTCTGTATTTTTCATTTGTGTTTATTCTCATCTCATCTCAAGTTCTTGCACTTTTCACAGTTACAATCTTTTCCTATACTTTTAGCTTGTTTTATTCCTGTACTTTTGATCTTGTTTTATTCATGTAGTTGTCTGGTGCACACTGGGGACTTCTGCACATGTATTCCAATGTGATTTTACTCCAAACGGAAAATACATTCAATCTGAATCTCTTTTTACAGTTCAAGGACGATGAAATCATGAAACTACTTATTAAGTAACTTCAGCAGTTCATGAACTGTGTTGTTATTATACACTTACCTTAACATTCTTAAAGTTATGAGAACATTTGTATTAATGTGACTTGATTGGGGTTTGCAGTTTTATGTTGTTGTCCTTGGTCCCGGGAACATGTCCTGCACATTCAGCTGGGGTCACAACAGTAAATAAAATCTCCTATAAAACTGCAACTTTAAAGCACTCCAGTACTGACACAACTTTACATTCTTTTGGTTGAATACTCTTTCCACATGTGTAGTTTTTTTCTTCTTAAATAGACAGTGAGGATGGATTGAAGTCACAATTTATGATATCATTAATGTTCAAGACAGATTGCATAAGCTAACTATACTTTCCTGTCTGCAAACAGTCTCCAAATCTAAGTCAAACTGTATATATGCAGTTTCAAGTGTATTGTAGATTAGTGTCCTCTGATAAGTGAATATATGACAACCATTCAATTAAATTGACGTAGTGCGGTCAAGAGCTGGGCGACGTTGCCCACAAAGCCAAGTACCATTCAATTAATATTTTTTGTCCTTGGGCGACAGTGGCTCAGTTGGTAGAGCGTTGGTCTTTGAGCCTGAAGGTCGTGGGTTCAAGCCCACCATGAGACCTTCTCCACCGACTCCCACTGATGTCTGCTGTCGTTGTGTCCTCCTTGGCCAAGAAACTTAACCCCACTTTGCCTGAAGCCCCTGCTGAAAGATCAAGGCTATGCTCTCACAGACAGAGCAGCCATCCTCCTGTGGACTCACCACCTGCAGAGGATCAGTGAGGGGTTGGTGCTATGTGACTTGGGTGGCATCACTGATTGTCACCCCCCCCGACCCAGAAATGGATTAAGGGGTAGAAAAATGGATGGATGGATGGGTATCCTTGGGCAAGCATATTTTCAATGCGATGGTCAATGTGAATCAATGACTTCTAAAGCCAGTTTTTGTGACAGCACTTCAGACCTTTTTATATATATAAAGTGCAACTTGAGTTACGAAACGTTACACTGCTTGGATACAGGTCTGATTTGGTTCAAGGTTGACAGGGAGATTGTCCGTAAATATCTTAAGTGGTGAGTTCATGAAATGGCTTTATTAGCAAAACAGAGGCAGGTTTGGGGTGACTCTCCTGGTGATTCTCTGTCGACATTTGCCAAGAAACAATTTCCATTTGTCTGGTTAAGCTTTTAAACTCTCTTACATAACACTGGAGACTGATGCGCCCGTGACTCACTGCTTTCCCCAATACAAAGTCAAGACAAGAATCAAAACAAGATTCAGCCATTTACTGAACCTGTGCTGGAAGAAGTGTTTTTAAAGGGAATTCCTACAGTCCATGTTCCAAAACCACTTTATGACCAGGAGTAGTTTGTTTCCTTCTAATCTGGATTGACTGAGAAAGGCAACTACACATTTTGAGGTTTCTTTGGGTTTCTGTAACAAAAGCTGTTTAATTTGTGCAACTGTTTTGTGTTTGTTATTGTTTGCTGATCCACTGTGTTGCTGACATGAAGCAGGGACCTCTCTTGCTCACGCATGTCTAATTCTGGGAAATCTGAAAATCATATTTGTTTTCAATAACATTTTCTTTCATAAGCAATTTAACTTCAAATTCCTGCTCATTTCAGCTCATTACTGCCAATGTGGTTTCCTTCAAGGCTGTAACAAGTTAATTGATTAATTACAACTATTCTTTTCTAAAATTATTATTGAAATAGTAATCAACTTATATAGTAATTGATTGTTAAACATTTTTTGAACCTTCCCATACAGTGCACTAAAACTTGATAATAAGAGGATGTATGCTCAATTCTATAATAGATAGATAGATAGATACTTTATTGATCCCCCGAAGGATAAATTCAGATGTCCAGTAGTAGGAAAAATAAAAAATAAAATTGAACATTCTAAAAAAAAAGATAACAATTGTAATAATCAGCCACAGCCCTTCAGGTCACAGCAGCGCAGATTGAGTAGCCTCTGGGTGGAGCAGGACGGGTCACAGCAGCAGAGGTGGAGTAGCCTCTGGGTAGAGCAGGACAGGTCAAAAGATGGAGTAGCCGCTTGGTTTGGACCATTTTCTCTGCTCTAGTCCAAAGTAAAATGCTAAATGCTTCATTAGCATTTTTCAAAAAGTCAGCAGCATGGTTTGGACCATGAATCCTCTCTGCTCCGGGCTGAACCAGTGCAAAACTTTGCACACTGTACTGAAGCAACATCTCAGGCAGAAAAAGCAATAAAAATAAAAATTGTAAAGCACAAAACAACAACTGTTAATCAGAGCTGCTAAGGACTTGCAGCCGTAACCCAGCACATCTTTAAAAAAATAAAATAAAATTATGACTGCAGAATTAAACAAAAATGTGTTTACAAAGTTCATTTCAATTATTTTTTTGTATAGCTCTCAATAAAAATAGCAGTTGTCTTGGTGGACATTACCAAGTTGTCAATCCCTCTTCAAAAGATCAGAGAATTATAGACTTAAGCTTTGTTTTGGTCAAATGTTTAAACAAATCCCATACTTACTGACCTTCTAAGATCCAAACAACAATAAATCAAAAGAATATTTTTGACAACTAATCAATTATCAAATTAGTTTCTTCAGTGCAAGTACACAGAGAAGGACATGCTGTGTATTCAGAAAAGTACCTAGTGACAAACTCAGAAAAGAGCTGAACTAATCAAGAAGCCTGATTATCGCAATGTCAAACTGTCTTCTCTCGTTGTAACTTTACCATAGCGTGATTGCAGAATGTGCTAACTCTGCGTGTTTGTGTCCTCAGATTACTGGCACTCGTACAGTCACTGCCCGGGGCCCGAGTGGAACGTCATGTGTCGCGGCTGCTGTGAGTACGACGTGATCCGCTGCAAGTGCCCTCTGCAGGGGACTCCGGTGGGGTACGCCGTGCCCTGCTGCCGCAACGCCGCCAACGAGTGCGACCCCTGCATCATTCACCCAGGTACGCCTTCAATGTTGGGATGAATGCCTTTTATTTTTGCAAACCGAAATATGCCTGCATGTTGTGTGATTCAACAGAAGTAAATGGACTTCTGTTGTGAGACTAATATCAGTATTACTTTTTACACATAAAGTGAGATATATCAATTTATTGTTTGTTATAATGTTGACAATTGTCTCACGAGTTGGTAAAACACCAAATAAAACATTTTTTTAAAATATACTTTCAATGGACAGACAGCAAATTGATGTATTGATGGAGTCCTATGTATTGGTATGTGTATTTGTATTGGTGTCACATTTTAAGTAATATTACAGAAATGAATTCAACTTTTGAATGATCTCCCTGGATTTATTGCCTGTCCATCCGTGGGAGCAGATCCCTCTCTCAATGTGGACCTCCCTCAAGTTTCTTATCTTCCTCCGACAGGGTTTTAAGTCATTCCTTGTCGATGCAGACGGGTCTAAGGACAGTGATGATCAAGGACATTTAATTCACATTATTTATTCACATTTATGGACATTGGTCCTCCCACTCCATATGGACCAATGGCTCCTATGTGATTGTTATTTTTGCCTTTCCTGTTTTGGTTGGTCCGTTGGCTTTGTTGAGGATTCCGTGCTTGGGTTGTTAAAGAGATAAATGCAGCCAGTACTTTGACAATCTCTTTTAATAAGGTTGTGCTGAGCGTCATGGGACAAATTCTACTGCTAATTAGTTTGATGAGCAAACCTTTAAACTACCTTTAAACCATTATAGCTGTTTTATACCTCATAAAGACAACATTTACAACAATGTTTTGGTTTTAGTTTACTTCATGTAATCTAGTCTCCACAAGCATTCTCCAACATACACATTCATCCTTTCGAAACAATTAAAACTATAAGATCATTTACAAAGTTTTGAACATCCTACCGTAAATTGTTGCCATACTGTGCTTCACATTCTTTCAATGCCTTCGCAACTTCACTTTCCATGCTATAGTTTTGACAACTATGAACAGAAAAACTTGCACGTAAAACTTGTGTTATGCATTTGTTCTAATTTGTTTTTCCTTGAACCTTTTCCAGAGCACTTTTAGACTTGCCACGGTGGATTATCACATCAGGATGATTTGACTTGTGAATATGACCAGAGTAAATTGTGCCGATAGCCGTGTCATACATCACATGTGTGTCCTATGAGGCAATATTAGCACCTAGGGACTTTAGCACTGTGTCTTAGCGCAACCTTGCGTACGCCGACCCCTAGGGGTGCGCACAGGTACTTCAAAACTTACTGCAAACAATGATAGTAATACATAATGTTAGCGATAATTTTCCCAAGATAACAATCACACAATTTATTTTTGTCTAAACATTGACCCCAGAACACAATCTATAATAATATTAATAATAAGCATGTGCTGGGTTAAATCAGTGCATGTATTGATATAAGCATGTACTGATTTTGTTCAGAAAAAATATATAAAACTAGTTAAATAACAGTCATAATTTGGTATTGTATACATATTGTAAACTAATCAAATTTAAGTAAAATAAACCAAAGCAAAAGATTAGAACTTTTCCCAAAGAAAACAAGACTTTGGAGACCTTGGTATAACAGGCACTAGTGCTCTGTTTACGCTGGTGAGGGGGTACACAGGGCAAAACAGGTTGGGAACCACTGTCCTGCTAAGGGATTCTCTGCATACATATACCTCAATGCTCACGATTTATGGAAGGGGGAAAAAACAGCTGTTTGGAATTGAATGGATACCTGTGCAACACGGTTCACGGTAAAATGGTAACGTCTAAAGTGTGTGTATGACCATCAATCATCAGTTGAGCCCCATTGTTAAATGATACCTGTAATCCAGTTAAGTGCTTGTTTTTTCAGACAAGAAGCAGCAAAAATGAAAACGTTCTACAAAGTGAAAAGGCTTTTCACAATAACATGAAGCAGACCAAAGATCAAACCACATTTCTATAGTTAAGAGGCATTCATTTATACTGTTAAATGATTGCTGATTAGGGAGGAGGAGGGTTGAGGCACAAGCTGATTTTGCTGAGGCAGAGGTGAGAAGAGTAAAGGCACACTTACAATTCCAGTCTGAACCACTGTTTAACTTCATCAGCCTTCTTCAGATCTGTATAAACAAACTTATATCACTCGGCTTAATTCTATCCCCCATAGTACTGGTAAACCACCTGTTACAGGGCTAAGCACACACACATCATCCACTCTTTATGATCTTACTGGACTAACTTATCTTTACCGTCCTAAATTGGGAACTGATATTTGCCAAACCAAAACAGACTGTATTAGGTATAACTATATATAACTGTTTGGTTTTCCTGTTCAACACACGCTGAAGTCTTAAAAAATACAGGCAATGTAGTGATTACTTATATTATTTTCTGCAGGCCTGTTGCCTAACATATCTATTCAATTTTTTGTAAAAAATGAAGCCGTTATAAACCACTAACAGATATATGCCATCCCTGCGCAATCTCTGAAACCAATTGATGCATAAGATACAACAGTGAAATCCTCTCTATTGTTGCAAAACAAAATATGGGTCTGTTTGTGGTGTTGTTCCTAAGGAAATACAGTCAGCCCTGCCCTTCCTGTGAGCCACATCTGTATGTTTGCTCCAGCCTGGTCCATTGTCTGTATATCTTGTTTTCATTTATATTATGTTTAACAAGGAAGTTACATGTATATGTATTAAAGTAGTGTCTCTCACTATAATGCGGTCAGCTTTTGCTGCTGTCTCATGCACCACTGGTTTACTCAACAATATGATATAACCGCTAGTATAACATGACAATTACCTTTTATTTTATGTCCGAAAAAAACTTTAGTGGCTTGTGTGCACCCACGTGCCTAGTTCAAAGGACTACCGTGGTATTCTGGAGCACTCAGTCCTGCTTCTGCCTCTCAGCATTGTGCCATCTGCAGCAATATTTAAGGTGTGCTGGTCTTTTGACAGCTGCAGCAGCGCTCAGACTTAAAACAAACAGATTTGATGTCTTTGCGATTGCACTTCACCAGTTGTGAGTTCAGGTGTTTAGAAATGTGTATGAGGGTGTTTAACAGGTTTTGGTGGTTTTCGAAGAATGTGTACTTTTATATTTACACCTGTACACTTTTATATTTACAGATGTGAACGGCAGATTATGGATTGGAAATAATGTATTCTAATGGGGTTTCATTGCAAATGGCAGATCAAAAATGAATTTGAATCCACCTTCAGCATGCCTGGAATAGAGCCTTTCTGGGTGGAGTTTAGATGCTCTCCCCATGCCTGCGTAAGTTTCCTCCGAGTGCTACGGTTTTCCCTAAAAAACATGTACAATAAGTATAAATGTAACGAGTGATTGAATAGAGGATGTTAGTTGGGGGGCTTTGATGCACCAGTGTGTTCGACGTCTCGCTTTTGTCATCATTGTGTGTAAATGGAAAAAATATCTGGAATATCTGACCATTGTAAAGCGCTTTGGGTGACCTTGGTCTTCAAAATGCGCTATATAAATAAACATTACTTTGTTACTTACGTACACTTACAGCAGATACGAGCATTGCCACTTCAATGTCCATGCTGCATGAATATTATCTATTAACCAATGAATGAGATTGAATAAAACAAAGGAATAGCCTCCTTTATGGACAGGCGAGGCACGCATCTGCACTTGAGTAAAATGTAACGAAAATTTCTGAAATCCCCTTTGTTTCTTTTGCAGGTTGCAGTATATTTGAGAACTGTAAGCGCTGTAACAACGGGACGTGGGGATCCAGAGATGACTTTTTCATCAGCGGCAGATATTGTGCCGAGTGCCGTCCGGGCTGGTCTGGGGGAGACTGCATGAGTACGCACTACTTATTTGAAGCGTGTCTTTGTGCCCTTAATTCACTTTGCATTGAGTTTCCGTGATGCTTTGTGTATATTACTTTCTTTAGAGGTCACATCCAATATGCACTGCGTGTTCTCCTATGCTGACTTATCTCTGTCTGTCTGTAATGCCACTTTGGAAGAATGCCATTTGCCTCAAAGCTCTTCCTCACAAAGCTGAATGACAAGACGCTCTATGCATTGAAAATCTTAATCTAAAAAAAAATAAAATCATGCATTCAATTTGGACAGCCAGTGCAACTTTCTTCTTATGCAAATCATTTCCTCGAAGGCACCACAGAAATACATTTAATTATAGACCTAGACGTTGATTTATTTTTATTTTTCAAAAGCCCTTTGTTCAGTGTCTGTCTTTGAGGGATATTTTTCACAGCGAGTGGGGAACTTAACTTTAATTGCTGTTGGTAATAGTGGAAACCATAACAGTGGGATTCACAATAATTATAATGTCGTAATTAAAAGCACAACTTTCCATGATGAAATGCCTCGCTGTGGGTCTTCCAGAGTGTGGGGGAGTGATCCGGAAAAAACAAGGCCATTTGGTGCTGGAGAGTTACCCCAACAATGCCCGCTGTGAGTGGACCATCCAGGTGGACCAGCCCTTCACCATAGAACTCAGGTAAATCTATCACAAGTTGTTCATTTTGTGATTATAATCGCTGAGTCACGCAAAATTAATATCAGTACACAATGCAAAACAGTTGAATTGGACAAACAGCTTTTCTAGTGACGTTCTGACAGGGTGGGTTTAGGTTTCCCACAAAGTTCAGGCTTGCCTTGCATCCAATGGTGACACGTTGTTAAGGAATTCTGCATGACTTCATACAGTAATTTTGAATCAGATCTTCACGCCAAATTATACAGAAATACTGCCCGGTATAAGTCATTGATGATATAATAGAAATACATAGTTGAACGATGGTATTTTAGGCTATACAAAGACAAACAGAGGTGATCTTTTTTGAAAAAAATCCACACAAAAAAGTCAGACCTTGATGCAAATCTGGAATTAAACGCTCCGTATTGACCTCTTGACGTCCATCTGTAAAAGTGATTCTGGCACACCAATTTCCCACATTTTTGCTCAAAGTAGTCATGACTAATTCTGCAGCAAAGTTTGGTAACCACAACAGTATGGCCTTTCAGTGCTTCAATATATGTCAGATGCTCATTTTCCCCATTACTTTACAACACTTCACGTGCCAAAACAGTTATTGTTTTAACAGTCTTTGGAGGCACAGGCACCAGCACAACATACTGTACATATAGATTTTTTTATTGCTCCAACATACCATTTTGGCATGCGATGCTGTTAAAAGTTAATAGCATTGCAATATCCGTATGCCTCTTTGACATAAAATTTAGCAATATTTATTTAAGTACATAACTGTATACTGGTAACTGGTGGAGAATGTGGCTGTGTTTTATATGAGATCTTTAATGCATTACACCTTTATGAACAAATTGTATGAATTTTCTTGCATTATTGATATTGTAATGTTATGTAAAATTGACATGACTTTGCTATTATTTATTGATTCCATTGCTTGAGGTTTTGTCACAGATAAAAAAAAAATAGTATTTGCAAGCAGACAACCAACTGATTTCTTTCACGTTCAATGTAAAGTCAAGAATCTGCTTCTCAAATCCGCAGCTGTCTGAGTCCTCTATTGTTGTATTTTTGTGGCCTCTGCACTCAGACAACATGGTCCGGTGATTGGAAGCATAAAAGGGCCTTCACATTTTCATTTAAAAAAAAGTTTATCTTTGAAAATATCACCTGAAAACATTCACTAAAGACTCTTGGTTTAATTAAACAATATTACAGTGATGCGAAACATTTGTATGATTTACTAAATACAGTATCTGTTGTCACAAGAAATAGAACTTGGCGCCTGTTTTGACCCAGACGGAGAAAAACACATTAAAGAGAGAGATGCAGGAGTCAAAGAGGTTAGCTCCTGTGTCGAGGTTAAATATGTTTTACTTTCAAGTTAGATTTTAGCTAAAACTCCTCCCGTTCCCACGACAAAAGGGTGTGACACAAAACTGACATCTACTTGGAAATAGAAAAATAACCTGAAAATGTTGTCAAAGGCAAAAACACTGGTCCCACGGCTAAAATAAACGTTTTTATTTTGAGTGATTATTACATTAATTCATTAGACTTCAGTTACTGAAAAAAAGTACATGCATTCACTGAAGTTCATTGCATATTTTTTGTATTATTATTTTGAGTGTTTTTTTTTCCTTTAGTGAAGGGCCAGGGGCAACTATGCACTGTCTTTACAATGACACATTTATCAGTCGATGACCTCATCACCTTTAAGGCATATATGTCTACATAATTGATATTTCGCTTACCCAACATGTGAATTTTATCTTTCTAGTATGATGGATGTTGTGTCTCACTTGAAGACTGAACAGACTTTACTTGTCAGTATCTGTTACGTATGTAATCTCAGTTGATTTACAGTTGAACCCTATTATCTAAAGCCAACTTTTCCCTGTTGCACCGGGCGACACTACAGCTGAACAATATTATGGCAAATTATAAGCATCTGTTGTCCGCAGTGCTGCTCTGTGGCGGAAGCCTGCTTACTTAAGACGCCAACATGGTTTAGGTTTACATACTCTATAAAGACAACATGATTCTGCTGGCTATATCAATTTTGAAATCTGAAGGTTAATGAACAACGTCAAAAAATAGGCAAGTTGGCACACGTCTATATTCAGTCTTGCCATATTGCTCTGCCCTCTGCCCCTTTACACATCAAAGACGCCCATCACACCACAGATATGTTTAGTGAACAAGTTTAGGGAACTTTGCAAATTGAAAAATGGTGAACAAATAAGGCATTGGGTTTATATTGGGCTTTTTCAGACACTGAGAGACACTTCACATGTCAATAGTCTGTCACTCCATACACGATGGTGATAAACTACTTCTCTAGTCACAGCTGCCCTGGGACACACTGTCAGAAGCGAGGCAACCAGTATGTTCCAGCCCCTCCGACCACCGACCATTCATGCACACATGCTCATTGAAAATCGGTGAACAAAGTGAGTGAAAGCAGTGGCAATGTCAAAGTTTAAGGAGATCATAAATTACCCTAAAAAGAACAAAATGTATTATTAATTGTCAAAAAATGTAACGGTAGGAACAATAGCCTTAACCCTTTCACTAGAAGGCAATGTAATTTTTTGGGGGGGAATTTTCTAATATGTAGGGGCACTAATAATAATAATTTGTGTTTTTGCGTTTTTTTCAACCCCTAGTTTTCTTTTGAAATAGGCCTTTACCAAATGGTTGAGATGCAATTTGATAGTAAAAGTGCCTAAAACTAAGAAATGCCCCAAAGAGGTATATTTCAGTTCCAATCCAGCTTCAAGTAGATATAGTGACTCAAAAGGTGATCTACCAAATGATTGAGGAAACCATTAAAGGGGTAAACCAGTATTGATTATTATTTGGATACATTTTCTTCTGTCTACATTGTCCCAGGTTCATGATGGTCAGTTTGGAGTTCCATCATTCCTGTCATTACGACTACATCGAGGTCCGAGATGGAAACAGCGTCCGCTCTCGTGTGATTGGTCGATTCTGTGGAAACAGCAGGCCGCCGCCCATCCACAGCACCGGGAACAGTTTGCATGTTCTCTTCGTGTCGGACGGATATAAGAACTTTGACGGCTTCTTTGCCACGTTTCAGGAGACTTCAGGTCAGTGATTTATGTAAATATCTTTGCTCAATTAACTAGGAGAATAAAATCATTAACGATTACTAAAAGGAGGTATTCAGTCAAAAGAAGGCGTTTGGTCAAATATTAAAATATACAAATAAGTGGAGGAGAAGTAACTATTTCCAAGTTAATTTTTTTAATCCCACAACCCCACACTATTTTTTGGCCTTAAATCAAGTTTTTAATTTATTTTTTTTATTTTTTATTTTTTATTTTTTTATTGAAGACAACAAAACATTCAACAAGAACACAGCATTAAAACAAAAACACAAAAGCACAACCCCAAACAGAACAAACAAAACACAAAGACAAGTAGACAATACAAAATAATAATATTAATAATAATAATAATAGAGAAGGGAAATTGTAATGATAATAATAATATGAATAATAATAAACATGGAAATAAAAAATCCAAAATAAATCAAAAATCTAACATTTTACAGTATGTAATCAACAACTTTGAGCCTACAGTACAGAATTGTAATCCCATTCTACATCTATACCCATTTGCTAAAGGCACATAATTTAATGGATTTATCTACTGGTGTCATAGTGGAAGCCTAAACCCAAAAACAAGGAAAACACAGCAAACCTTAACCATACAAATGACCTCTCTTAACAAATCCTCAGTGAAATCCATTTTAATGAAGTATTGGAGCATGACCTAATGACCGAGTCGGGGCTTGATGAAAAATGGTTTTCTCTTGACCCCAAAGAAAAACAAGAAAATGTCCAAACCACTCCGGGCCTGAGCCGAGTGAAGGGGCTAATAACAGGGGTGTGTTTATGAGCTTTCATCAGAGTCCTGCACCAGCTCAGAGAGAGGAGGGCAACCAATCAAAGCTGTCCAAATACACACAAGGCCATCAGAAAACTACTCTGCAACTGTTGTTATGGTCCCTTAATAATGATCACTGAAGCTTGATGGTGATGAATGAACATTGTCGATTTTCACGATGGCTTGACGAAGGAAACACTTACATTGGATGACTTTGGTAAAGGATATGAGTTAAGCAGTATTTCCCTTATTTAAATGGTTGCCTCTTTATATAATGGTCCTTTATTTTTATAGTTTTGAATTTGAGTAATGGTGCCTGCCATACTTCAATTATCAGGAATCAGCTATATACAGGTATACTATTTCTACTCTACATATTTCTACATTTCTACATTGACTGACAATCGGGCAAACATTTGGATTTTCAGCCTTGAATTTAAATTGGAGGCTTTCAATGGTGAGGTGAAAGAAGGACCCAAAATGCAAGAATGCAAAATAATAATGATTAAATGAAAATATATAAAAGTCCTGGTAAAAAAAAAAAAAAAAAACACAAAATCCAAACTAAAACATGGGAACCAAGAAAAGAGGCAAACAAAGACCATGGACAAGCTTCAAGGGAAAAGAAGCATTTTCTTTATATACTAGTGGTATTTTCTCATTGTTTTATGTAATTTTTTATTTAACCTTTATTTTACGAGGAAAGTCCCACTGAGATTTAGAACCTAATTTTCAAGGGAGTCCTGGACAAAAGTTACATACAGTTACGTACAATTACAGATTTTAAGAGCAGTTACACAGAATCTCATACACTTCTGTGATAGAAGATGATTTTTAGACTCAAACAGGGTAATAGTTACATTAAAAAACTTACTTCCAGATCACCTACACAATCTATTCATTTGTCCCTTGTACCATTTATGAGGTTTTGAGGTATACACCTGTCCATATTATTTTTTTGTTATGTTTCAAACTGACACAGACTGACAAACCCCCTTTTTGAATCATGTATGTCATAGCAAAGGAAGGTTTCTCACCCATCATCTGTACTTCTTAGCAAGTTTTCCCCATGGTTTTCAGGTTTTCAGATGATGGGTGAGAAACCTTCCTTTGCTTTGACTAATCCCTGTACGACTGAGGGCTTACACAAACTTCATGTATGTCATACCAATATGGAAAGATGTGTTGTGCTGGTTTGAAATACACAATCTATCTCACTAACTCTGGTAATTAAGAGGTCACTTTTTAACCGTGAGGCTCAAACAACACTCATAAAGTGTTGGAATGTTGTTATAACTCATGTCAGTATTTTGGGTCTGTGTTTATAGCGTGCAGCTCGTCGCCCTGTCTGCATGATGGGACTTGTATCCTGGACACTTCTTACTCTTACCACTGTGCCTGTCTGGCCGGATACACAGGCAAAAGATGTGAGAACGGTGAGTGAATCACAACTCTAAACACCATTTATGCCACCAAAACAATGCATCATGGGTAAAGTCTGAAGGTATGGACATGACTAGAACATTTCGATGATTATAAGTGAACTTAGAATCACCTTATTTTGACACCTTCTTTGCTATGTGCTGCCTCTGAAAGAATTTTGTATTTTTATTTTCCAAGAGAAGTGATTTATAATATTTGGATGGTGATTTGGAGATTATTCAGACTGCACAGCTGCTGTTTCCATTTCATACTGTGGATGCTATTGCCTAAAAGTGTCAATTTTATTATGTAGTATGTCAACGTTTGCAAGTCTGACAGGCCATTACATCATTCTTTGGGGAAAAAATTAAGATTAATATTTTCAATTTTTGTATATTCACCAACAATAGATCAGAGAAGCAAACCGTTCAAAATACAATTATATCAAGCACATAGGAGCCATATTGGTCCATAGGAAGCGGGATGACCAATGTCCATAAATGTGAATAAATGTCCCTAAACGTCCCGGATCATCATTATCCTCAGTCCCTCATGCATCAACAAGGAACATCTCAAACATCTGAAACTATATTAGCCTTGCTTTGACAATCAAAGGAAGTAAACTACCAATATTAAGACTTTGAAAGCAGGGGCTGGGAACTTTATGTTCTTTGTCTGACTATTTCTTACAACCATTGTTTTTATTGTTTTTTTTACATAGTGTATACCATTACATTGGGTGCTTAAAAAATATTTAAAAAACTAGCTAAAAACGTATAAGCTTTAGAAATCATTTAAGTCGAATGAATGAATGAATGGATGGATGAATCACACGAAAGGCTTTCTTCCAACTACTTCATCCTTCATGTATTTGTCCTGAACATACTATTTTAAAAATGCAATTCCCAGTTATGACAGAATGCTGTTTTTGTTCATATCACAAAGCTCCAGTCCAGCCAGTGTCCGCAAGGTTCTTCATATTTCACGATGTTAGGTAAAGGCTTTCAAAAAAACCACATCTGAGTGTTTATTCATTCAACTGGCAAAGCCGCATAAGTCTTTGGGGCACTGGGCTGTCAGGGTGTGGTTACTTTGTGGCCAAAATACACACAGCCCTTTATTTACTAGTACCAGGACCCTAACTCACGCTTCTGTGCATTCCCTTAAAGATCCTTCAAAAACAGGCATGGCTGGCCCCTATTTCTTTTTTTGTTCTTTTTTTCTTTTGGGGCCCATTTCAGTGCTACATTCAAGTCTATTAAAACGGCCGGTGAAACAGTTGTGCCTCTATAATCCTATCCAGTCTCTAACTGTCAGAGGCCCATATAAAACCTAGAGCTTTGGTTCCACACAGTTTGCATTCAGATATTCCCGGGTGGAGTCTTCAGCTGCGCTCACACTAAAGCCGAAGAAATGTTGTGTTTTTTCTGTCACTCAAAGAATTATGTAGATTCATTTTGCAGGCATTATTTTATGTCTTTTCATTTACTTACTGTCATCTGGATTCTTGTTATTTGGTTGGAAATTACAGCCACTTCGGGTTTTAATTTAGTCTGTCTTCCATTACAGTGTGTAGCGACGTCAGGGTGGGACATTGCTGGAAAAACTGAGACTATTTCTTTATAAACTAAGACATTTATCATAATGTCACAATCATGAGTGGCTTTTGTGAGTTACTTAATGAGTGGAGCTGACAGTATATTTCCCAGAATGTTGGCCTTGTTTTTTTTTTTTACTAAAACCAAAGAAGGTCCACAACAGAACACTATGGCACGGAATACTTTATTCAACCAATCTCTTATTTAGTCCTGGCCAAAGACCGATACTTGTTTTAGTGGCAAGGCAAGTTTATTTGTATCTATTCATACACAAAGTATGCATTCCAAATGAAGCAAAAACTTGAACCCACCAGAAAAATAAATCAATATTCATATATGTAAAGCTAGGTGTGATGTGTGTATGTTATTTAGTCTGACATAGAACTTTTGATTTTTTTTTTTTCAATTTCTCATTCAGGGGTTTTCAAACTTTTCACTCAGGAACCCCAAACTTGCAAAAAACACCCCACACAACGGATTACTATCCAAAAAGAAATACCTTTGTAGTATTTAGCAAGAAGCAACAGATTCATATATATGTTGGTTGACTTATTTTGACAATGAAAACTACTGATATAAGTGTAATTTAGCCTTGAGTATTTTGACATTTTAAGTTACACTTAGTTTGTGTAATTGTCACTTATTTCTATGTATAAACACTGGGAAGATTTTCTATCCTTGTTGAATCCTCACCTGCACAGTATATTTATCCAGCCCCATCATCGAGAGACAGAGCTTTGTATACAGTAGACTCCAAACGGCCTAAATGACAACGTTCGTGTCTGATGGAGACTTAAGGCTCTCTGTGGTTGCTGAAAACATCCAATAACAACTTTTCATCTCGCAAGCACCGGCTCTGACCTATTTCCAAGCTAACAATACATCCTTGTGGGCCATCTGACATCATCCTCTCCGTAGACTTACATTGCGTTTGAGGTTTACCACTTCTGGGTGAAACAAGGAGGCAGGAATGTGTCCCTGTACTGTTGCACTTGAGGCAGTCTGCGAGGGGAGATGGAATAGTAATCGATCACAGACGTCACAGCCTCCAGGACTGACTTTGACTTTGATTGCTTTAATTTTTTCAAGTGTGAAAGTTGCGTTTGCGGCTCAATTGTGTCATTACCTAATCGGCCTCTGGGGGAGCTATCCAGCCACACTTTGTTTTCAAATTAGAGGTGATAATTATTGTGATGGACGCTTCTGGTCTCAGTAATCAGAGTGATGCTGTCTATATGGCGTTAATGTTTTGGTGGCAGTCTATAAATACAGTGTGTGTGTGTGTGTGTGTATATAGACGTACACCTACACACAAGTCTACTCTTTGCAAAGTTCCTTACAGTTTAGTAACGGTATGAATTTCAATAATATCGTATTATGACCTACGTGCTGGTAAAAGGCCTTAACCTTCTCATTGTTGACATACTGGACGGATAGGAGCACAGCCAAAACGAAAGATCTGCTAACATTTAGTGCTGCCGGTAAATGCTAATCTAACCTAAATGCCCCATTTGCCTGCAGATTGAGTCCTCTCTTTTTCCTTTTGTGCATGTGAACTTGGGCATTATTCTGCTGTGAGGGCTTAGGCTAAGTATTTAACAACTGGATAATAGAGCGAGCAACACGTATCTCTCCAGACCTATAAAACTCCTATATTAGAATTTATACGTCTAGGAGTCCAGTCTGTCGGACCTGGCTTTGTGTGGTCTGTTTGCGCAGGTGAAAACACGTTTAATTTGTGGACTGGGGTGCAGATTCTTTTATAATGCTCTTTGTATTGTGCCAGGCTGCCAGCCATCTGCCCCTATAACAGGTTTAATAACCGCTTTCCTCCTCACAGTGGTCGGCTGCCGCAGGCCCCCGGTGCCCGTGCATGGCTCTACGGAGGGTCTGTTTCACCACTCGGGAGCTCGCATCACATTCCGCTGCGACTTGGGCTTTGAACTGCAGGGGGTCCGTTCTGCCATCTGCCTGAGCGACGGCAGTTGGAGTGCCCCTGCCCCGAACTGTGGTAGGACAATCACGTTAATTACATTTTATTTGCTTCCAGCCAAACAAAGGCACTCAGCCATGTGTACGCTATTAGAGTCCTTAAATAACACACAGTATGTGGACAAAAACATAGTGGAAAACAACTAGATTAGGGCTGTTTACAGTTTTTATCTCTCCTTTATGTCAGTGCCAGTGGAAAGGATGTGTTCGCTGCCCCCAAAGCCAGCACACGGAGACCACTTTCTGGTTTATGGACCCAATGATGTGTTGGTTGCGCTGCAGTACTTGTGTCATCAGCCTTATGAGATCAGCGGGGGGTCGCAGAGAACATGTCTGGCCAACAACACCTGGAGTGGGACGTCTCCTGTCTGCACCACAGGTCAGATCTGTTGACAACGATTTATGTATGTGTTCAATATTATAGGGTTATGTATGGAAAAGGTGAGAGCAAGTTTAATATTATATGGTTAGGTGTAAAATGGGGAGAGCAAGTTTACTACTTGTATTGTTGTTTTTGTGTGGAAAAATAGGTTCAAAAACATTTACTGATAAAAGGTCAAATTCATTTGTATTGGACCTTTACAAAAAGCAGTGCCTCCCACAATTGTTCACACAGGTGACAAAAAACAAATACATTATACAAACATTGAATAGAAGCAACATAGACTTTTACAATACAAAATAAAAGGAACAAAGGCTGCTACACAAGAACAAGAACATTTGCAATACAAGCACAACTTTTCCAAATTGTTAAAGCAAATGCAAACAAATACATCTATTTTATGCCGCTATCCAGAGGAAATAGATGGCACTATCTGAAGATAAGATAAGATAGAATTTATTGATCTCACACTGGAGAAATGTACATGTCACGTTTGGCATTTGGCATGGATAGAATGACTCAGATTGTGCATGAAGCCGTGTTGCAGAGACCCCAGACTTCCATATCCATGCACACACTCAGCCCATCTTCCCCAGGGATCTCCTCCCGGTGGGGCATGACTTCAGAAGGCATTAGAAACACATGCCTGAACCACCTCAGCTGGCTTTTCCCTTTTTTTATATACATATATTTTTGTTTTATGTTATTTTGTGAAAAAAATCCCCACAGAAACCCAACCTTTAACTAACTACAAAGCAGCTGGTATTTCCTTACATTTGTTTAAAGGTCCTATATCACGCTTTTCTTCATGTTTCACACTCAATCCTCTGCACATGTGTGATATTAATGTGTATGATACACCACACAACAATCAAAGCTTGTGAGATTAGAGCCATCTCTTGTGTAGAGGTGACGTCACCTCGACTCAAACGAGCTGATCCAGAGAAGAGTCTGCTCCTCTGCCTGTGAGCCCGCCTCCCCCCGCCCGCACGGTGACGTAGCATCACGCTTTTGTCGTTTATCACCTGTACTTAGTAATTTCATACATAAGAATAAACTTTTTCCAACAATGACAATCCGTCACATCGAGCCCTACTGTATGTCCTCGATGCACAATCAGACCCTAGTTATTTAGTTTACAGAAGTATACAGCGAGTTAGCGTCACTACTTACAGATCGAGGGGGTCCGAGTTACGTCTTTTACCGTGGGAATAACATGTTTCCAGATCAGCTTTTGAGTAAGTCCAGTTCCATTGTCCCTGTAGTTCTGGAACAGTCTCAGTGAAGTGTCGCAGATGAACCGGTATTATAATAGATCCATGAGATGAACAGATGAAAAAAGTCGAGCCGCTTTCTTCCTCTTAGGGCCAAATAGTGTGTCACATATTTACACCCATAACACACTTCATTCAAGTTGACGTGATCCTAACACTTTTAGTTGCTGACAAAAGCAGAAAAACAGCAGTTCTATGTGGTGTCCGCGAGACCAGACCACAGACGCTGGACTCGGGAGCCGGAGCCTGTGCGCTCTGATTCGCTGTTTTGATCCGTCAATCACCTCCCGCCGGCTTTTAATTTATTTGTATTTTTATTATTTTTGACAAAAAGCAGCATACTAATTGTGTATTGTTTACCCCGTTTTGACAAAAGTATTTAACAACTATTTTAAATGCAAAGCAAACGGGGTCATGCGCGTCATCAGTGTGGTTTTTGTCACTGAAGTGGACCCGAGCGTTTCTGTGCCTCACGCTGGGGAAGGAGACAGATTGCTCTCTTACAAAAGATTGACAGAATCAATGAATAAACTACTGTGGGCTTGTGTATGAAGGCCAAATAGCATTGTAATCATGTTTAAAGCAGAGAAAAGTCAAAAACCGTGATATAGGCCCTTTAATGTTTGATACCTGAAAATTACATCAAAACTAAAACAAAAAAACTCAGAACCATTAAGACTACTTCATGTTGCACTCTTGGTCGATAAAAGAGCTCACATGGCTCTCGTCTGTTGATTCGCAGTGAATAACACACTCTCAAAAGAAGCCGAAAGAGAAAAAGAAGACTTCAGTAATGAGTCTGAAAGGGGGAAAGAGGCTGAAATATTCACCGACCAAGATATCCCAGAAGTTACGGAGAAAGGTCAAGAAAACAGAAGCAAAGACAAATCTGGTGGTGAGAGAAAAGACGGCGCAACCTCAAACAAGAACTCGACAGCGGTGAACAAGGAAGACAAATACTCTGGGAAAAGTGAGTCTGGCTTCGACCAAACACACAGCAGCCCACAGCCCACTGGAAGCACCAAAACAGAAATCGTTGTGATAAAGGACAAAGGCCAGGAAGAGAACGAACGCAAAGAGGAGCAGATCAACGGAAAGAAAGACAGAGACAAAGTTGGACCCAATGACACTAAAATGACGACTGTTTTATCAGAGGCAGAGATTTTTGACCTGGGGATTCTCAACGTTACTATGGCACGTGATGTAAAAGACACCAAAGTACAAAACAATACTATCAGTGCAGATCCGGTAAGGAAAGTCTTCCCCACGCGAGTCAACGTCACACAGTTCACCCTGTATCGGAGTACAGGAGCAGAGGGAAGCGGGAAACCAAAGGAAAATAAAATAGACAAACAAGAGAAGACTTCTGAGGAGAGAACGGCAGAGGAGAAGGAGAAGGAGAGAGACAGAGAGGCCAACCAAAGCATCAACGGTGAGTGCGATTCTTATGATCTCTTCAAAGTTACCAATTAACAATTTAAAGAATCGTTTCAATGCAAACTGTAGGGCTGTAATTACCAATGATTTTGATTAGTTGGACAATTTATTAATAATGGATTAGTTGTTAGGATCTTGAAAGCTCAGTGAGTATGGGATTTCGTATACATGTGACCAAACAAAGCTTATGCCCCTGGAGAACGTTGTCATAGAGATGACTTGTTACACATTGGGTTGTTTGAATTCATATTCCTTGTTTTTTTTTCAGTATCTGAACTTGTTACAGGGTTAATTCAATTCAATTCAATTTTATTTTTGTATAGCCCTAAACCAACATTTGCAGTCATCGCGGAGGACTTTGCATTGTTTTCGATTCACCGACAACCAATTAAAGAATCAAGCAGTTGGAATACAAGAAATGCAATATGTCTTTAGACCCTCCTGCATCAGCAAGGAAGATCTAAGGAAATCAAATGTAGCAACTGGTACATTTGATTGCAAAAAAATAAAAAAAATATTTACTAAACAAATGACAAATAAGGGGGCGACAGTAGCTCAGTTGGTAGAGCATTGGCCTTTGAGCCTGAAGGTCGTGGGTTCAAGCCCACCGTAAGACTTCACGACTCCCACTGATGACTGCTGTCGTTGTGTCCTTGGGCAAGACACTTAACCCCACTTTGCCTGAAGCCCCCACTGAAAGATCTCAGCTCCTGTGGACTCACCACCTGCAGGAGGATCAGTGAGGGGCTGGTGCTCTGTGAACTGGGTGGCATCTCTGGCCACCCCCCCGACCCAGAAATGGATTAAGGGGAAGAAAATGGATGGATGGATGGATGACAAATAAACAAATGCAATTTAATAGGAACAGATGCTAATATAATATTTGGATTATCAAAGCCTTACATATCGTATATAGAATTGTATCTCTTCTGCACATTATGTGGTAATAATAATGTACAGCCATCAAAACACTGGGATGGATAAACTAAATAACATACTGTAGGATGGATAACATTTCCAAAGAACTAAGCAGAAACAGATCTCCAGAATATCAGTCTGCTGTGAGAAATGCTTGTATACCGTCTTCTGTGCCATACAAACTGCTTTTGTAATAAACCAGGTGTTTCCAGGTTTGTGAACCTCTGGTCCACAGCATATAGTGCAATCATAAACATTTCTTTTATTTTGAAAATCTACCCCCAGTTTAATTATCACTTTCATGTTGTGTCCCATTGCAGACAAAAGCTGCCCTCCTCTTCCTCGGCTTTATAATGGTTACCAGCAGGTGGCACCAGGAGCACAGCCCATTAAAGTGGAGTTCAGGTGTAATCACTCATACGCTCTGAGTGGAGACACCCACAGGACCTGTCAGGCAGATGGGACCTGGACTGGAACACAGCCGTTTTGTGTTAGAGGTAACCTGCGATCACAACAGAGCATTTCCTAATGGTCTATAAACCTTTATGATTCCAGGCAAACCCACCTGAACAGGCATACATACCAATTAGACAACTTAAAAAATAAAAGAGGGAGATGTTATACAGATCGTCATAAAAACCTCAAAGAATTCTTACAGATTGAGGTAAATGAAATAGTATGTCCCCAGTGTCTCATTTACTGCTCCTAGTGGAGTTAACTGGGAGCTGTGGTTTATTGTCCATCTAAAAAACGTCATGTTTGGAGATAAAATCATTATTTTTAAGAGAGACCCTGTTTTTGTTTTTTCAGATGCAGGCTGTTTATGTTGCAGGATTATAATGCTTAATGTGTATTAGCTACAACAAGCAATCGTGAAACAACAACAAACACACAAAACAGACAAAAATAACTTGTGTTGCTTTTCAGGTTTCATTATTTCATAACCTTCACTCTCTTTATCTGCAGCATGTCGCGAGCCCAAAGTATCAGAACTGGTCAAGCAGCGAATTCTGCCTCCTCAGACACCGTTTAGGTAAGAAGACGTTATGTCACTATTATTTAACCCTTGTATTATGTTGAAAAAAAATTACATTGATTATTTTGCGGGTCATTTTGACCCGTACTGTGTAAATGCACTCAAAACAGTCAAGAAAACAGGTTAAACCAATAACAACTTTATTTTAGGTCATATAAATATTTAGAAAAGTGACATACAATACATTTTTTTATTCCAACAATATATTTAAGACATATTTAGTAGTAGTAGTAAGTAAGTAATCTTTATTTATATACCGCCTTTTCACTGCACATCGGAGTCTCAAAGCGGTTTACAATTGTTATTTTTGGGAGTGGGGGTGCCAGTACAGGAGGCACGTGCCAGACCTATTGTACATATTTTTAATGGTAGGGGAAACCGGAGCACCCGGAGGAAACCTACGCAGACGCGGGGAGAACATGCAAACTCCACTCAGAAAGGCCCTGGTCCAACCGGGATTCGAACCCAGGACCTTCTTGCTGAGAGGCGAGAGTGCTATCCACTCAGCCACCGTGCCGATTTAGTCTAATCTTCTTGTCCTCCTCTCGGGTCAAAATGACAATTCTTCCCTCCCTCTTTCCTCCTGCCATGCTTTCTCCTTCCTTTTTCTTATCCTGTTTTCCTTCTCTCTGTTCATCCTTCTCTATTCCCTTCTTTTCTTTTCCTTCCTTCCTTCCTTTCTCCCTTCTTTCCTTCCTACCTTCCTTCTGTCCTCCCTTCCTCTTTCCTTGGCCAAAGATTTGTCCTCTGAATCCTCCTTATCGTAAGAAAATTGACAATCTGGATCAGTAATAACATTGTCCTGTCTCTGAAAAATCCTCTATTTCTGAAATCTCTTCCTCTACATCATTATCCCAGTTAAAAATCTGTGATAAAGCCTCCTCAGATGTCATCCTTCTGGAGCTCATTTTTGGTGAGTTTGTCTAGGGCCTAGCATTGCCTAACTAGTTGCAAGACGGCTTTTGGCAACTGAGAGTAGATGATGGAGATGATCAGTTGCCAAAATCGGTCGACGTGAGCGCTCTTACAACTGGAGATAAACAGTCGATCTCCGGATTCAGTCAGTTGCCCGTGTTCTACTTTTCGGCAACTAGTTGTCCTCAGATCCGGAGATATCACCCAATGTGCACGCTCCGTGGCGCTCCAACAACGTGTGTATTGCGTGAATTGCGCCCTCTACAGTTTATGTCAGAAAACACACTGTAGGTGAGGCCAGTTGCTGTCTATGTACGCGCTGTTATTCCCGAGACTGCCCTGCTACTAGGAGTTTCCCGTTTTCGCCAGATTGTCGATGTGTACGGGGCAGCAACTCAAAGGCGACGGATATATTCAGGTGCCAGTCCGATGTACGCTAGGCAAAAGAGATGACACAGTGACAAGGACAAGTGTGAGAAAGTTCCCTCTCTTCACACACCTGGCTCTCAGAGGTAATCAAAATAAAATGTCAAAGAGACATGTTTTTTTGGATCTGAACAACTATTTACCCACATTAAAGCGTCAGGTTCAAAATGACCCGCAACATCATCTTTGTATACAAACTCTGCACAGACATTCCACTACACATCAAGGTGTCCAGATTTTACACACCAGTTCATGACCCTAGATGAGGAAAAGTCACCAAATTTCAGGAAGAAAAAGAAAGGAGAACCAGTACTTTGATCAACACAAAAACTGAAATGGGTCAAATTGACCCTTAACATAATACGAGGGTTAAATCCAAAACTAACATTATATATCGTGAAAATGTGACGTTATATCATTTAACCAGTGCCTATTTATCTCCTTCAGAAAGACTCCAGTGCATAAGCTGTTAAGCAGACAGCTGCGCTCTGAGGGCCCTCTGCTCTCCCAGCTGCCCCCGGGCTTCCACCACCTCTACACCCACATTGAGTACGAGTGCACGTCTCCGTTCTACCATCACGCAGGCAGCTCCAGGCGCACTTGTCTCAAAACGGGGAAATGGAGTGGCCGTCATGTCTCCTGTTCGCCAGGTGAGGGCAGCAAAGAACCATGCTTTTTTTGAGTAAATATCTCACATCAAGAACTTCTCCACTGTCTCAGAATACATGCTGAACACATACATTTATACTTATGACATAAATACTTTGGGGAACTGGATTTTAAACAGTGTTGAAATTGATATAAGAACATAAGAAGAATAAGCACAGAATCCGCAATTGGTCAGAAGGGGTTGTGTTTAGAACTCAAGAGAATGTTGAGTTCTCATTCTGTTGAGAATGTAGATTTAAATTAATAGAAGTGAGGGAAAAATTACATAATCATTAAAAACAGAACCAGGTAAAAGAATAGATACCATATACTAAAAGAAATTGATAGAATAATAAAACCAGCTCCTATAATGGATGAATAAGCTGAGAGAAAAATTGGGCATTAATATAAAATTCTAAGACAAAAGTAAAACATCTCAAACATAAAGAGACTCCAAAGATTCCTTCCTTCTTCAACAGGGCCAGGGAAATAAAACACAGGGTGGTAGAGATAGAGGGAACACCAGCAGTTTCCCTTTTTTTTTTATTCACTTAAAGGCCTTGGGAGATCAGGACACTTACACACCAGACTTTGCGGTCTCAGGCTGACCTACGAGGGGTCATCCTTCAGCCTCCCTTATGCAAAGACTGTATCCCACGCTCCAGAGACCTTGGCATACTTTTCGTTCACCACTTGTATCAACCTGCTGGTGGTTCTCATGGTGCTGCTTTTCCCTGGATTGTGTGGTTCTCGGTTTTGACATCTGGCTCGGATCTGAGGTCGCTGAGGTGCCCTGGCTACATTCCCTCCTCCCCTGATCACTTATTCCTACTCTGACATTATTTATTATTCTAATTTATTGTGTGATTTTAATTTTGTATTGAATGGTGATTTTGGTGTTTGTTTTATGTGATGATTTGTGTCTTGTGTGATGTGGACTGTGAAGCGCTTTGTGTTGCCCTGTGTAGGAAAGGCGCTCTACAAATAAAGATTGATTGATTGATATTGTCCAGCAGGAGCCAAACCATTGTCATGTCTTTAGGTAAAAGAAGGCAAAACATATAGCCTTGGATGAGTTGTGTGTGTCTCTCCGTGTGGGTGTGTGTGTGTGTGTGTGTTATGGTCGATGGTATGGTGTAGTATGGTATGGTTTTTATTTTTACAGGGACAGTGTACAATAAACATTATCCAAAAGGAGAGATGCATTGTACGAGGTTGTAGCAAGCAGCAATGCTAATTTACACCTGTAATCCCTGAGCAGGTTGTTGTAAATAAGAATAAGGGAGCTGATGGCACAGAAAAGTAGCTTTTCAGTCACTCTGCCCCAGGGCGGCTGTGGCTATAGTAGTAGTTTACCATCACAATTTATAGAGTGAATGACTAAAGCTGTAAATTAATAAAATGTCTTGCCAAATGACATCAAGTCATAGAGCTTTGTAAGTAATATGCATTATGGTCTGGGGTTGTCAAAGCAACAAGAGAAACATAATTAAATGGATGGATAAAATATATATTGTATAGGAAAATGAAACGCCATCTCCTGCCTGTGACATTGACCCAACTACCTTCAATTATTTCTTTAGCAACCACCTTTTTATTGGTGGCAAATTGTGTCCAGTTGACCATCATGACCATGTGACCAACCATGAGGGTTACATTTACAAGTTGTATCTAATTCTAATCATGTTAATATATTTGTGTTTTCATTATGTTTTTTTTCTTCTACCATGACTTAAGCTGCAGCCTGTTAGCTCAACACAGGAGCCGCTTTGTGTGTTGCTTCATGATTGAATTGGGACTTTGGGGCCCGTCATAATGCTCTTTGAGTTAATTGTGTTTGCCCATGTAAGTCGCAGCGCTGCATTCTGGTAAACGTGGATTCTAAAATCCCATTGGGGCGAGTCTGATGGAAAAAGCACAGAAGCAACTAAGTTTAAATGTTGACACTGTCTCATGTGGAGTTATTCTGTTCTTCTATCCTCTCTCCTCTTAATCCAATCCCTCTTGTTTTGCCAGTTTGTGGGAAGCATCCAGCCTTCGACCCGGAGAGGCCAGGAGAGGCTCACTGGCCCTGGCTCGCTGCCATCTACCGCCGGTCCAGCGTCGGAACTGACAGCCTAGTGTCCAAGGCAGATGGCCAGGCCGGGACCCCCAACAAGCATGGAGGAAGCAGTGGCGGCGGTGGAGGCGGGGGCGGCGACCGGGTTTCTCAGTGGCAACTTGTGTGCAGCGGCGCTCTGGTCAACCAGCGGTCTGTGGTGGCGGCCGCGCACTGTGTGACCGAGCTGGGCAAAGGCATCCCTCTGCATCCGGACTCAGTCAAAGTGGTGGTGGGGATGCACTATCGCCATGACAACAGGGAGAGTAAGGCTTTGCAGCACCTCAGGGTAAGTGCAGCAGATGGACCTACATAAAGCAAGATTTAGAAAAAAGGTGGAATTCTAATTATATTGTTACAGTTTGGATGAATGAAACCCAATCTTTTTCATACAGTTGTGCATTAAAGTTTACATGTTTTATTTTTAGATTATAGTGACAACATACACTACTCAAATGAAATCTGATTTTAAGTTTATAACCCCCAGTTTTCAATATCATATATTCCTCTTAAACATCTATGCCAGCATGGACTCTTTAGTGGTATTTGTGGATGAGATTCTTTATCCTCTCTGACCAATTGGCAAAAAGCCTCCAGTTCCATTTGTAATCTCTATCTCATGACGAGGACATCATGGCTGGGTGTGTAAACTTCCGACTACAACTGTATAATTCATATTAGTGATTTATCATGTTTCTTTTTTTCTTTTTCATCTGATGCCAAGTGGAACCCTGATCACCTAGGGTTAGGGTTATTGATAACAGATCTCTTCAAATATTATAAATGTTTGATGTCGATTACTTTCTTTTTGCCTTCTTCAGGTCGCCTCCATAGCTGTCCACCCAGACTACGACCCTCTCATTCTGGACTCGGACTTGGCTGTGATCAAGCTGCTGGACAAAGCCCGGATCGGAGAGAATGTTGTGCCCCTGTGCCTCTCCGACAGACCGGACTTTGAGGTGGAAGCGGGACAGGGGCTGGTCACTGGCTGGTCTCCCATTCCCGACCCCTCGCTCGGCCGTGAGGAGAAGGCCCGGGTGGGACTAGTTTACCTCACTGATGTGGTCCCGTGTGAGAATCAGTATGCTCGAAACGGTGTGCCGGTCAGCGTCACAGAGAACATGTTGTGTGGAAGCCAGAAGCCTGATTACGGGGCCTCTAGTATGTGCCCTTCAGACACTGGGGGGATCCTGGTTCTCCCTGGACTTCCACAGTTTCAGTCAGACTACAAACAATCCCGAGGGGAGAGTAGTGAACCCTGGAGACTGGTTGGATTGGTGAGTTTCGGCTACGATCAGGGCGAGTGTGACCCTGACCTCTACACGGTCTACACTCGAGTGGACAGCTTCACAGACTGGATTCAGATGCACATGAAATAGGAGTGGCACATCTGTCCGTACAGAGACCGTCTCTGTTCATGCCAGTATTCCATGTTGTTTGTGTTTCCTTGGACAGTGAACTATTGCACTTTAAGCAAACTGTATTACCAAATAAAAAGGACTGAATTTAATGTTACAAGGTACTAAACACAACTGCAAGAGAGCAGTAAGTAGATATTGTTTACACATAAGTGCCAATTTTGCATTGTTTAAAAGGGCTTTGTTAAAAAATATGTATTTATGTTTCAACAACTGATTTCATTTGCAAAAACAGATTAGTCCAAACGTTTTATATCCCTCTAGCTACAATCTTGTTTTGTTATAGGCAATAAATGTAAAGAATGTTCTCAAGAAGGGGTGAAATTGTATTTGTATGGCACTAAAACAGATCCGGATTTTTTTTTTTTACTTAGTAAAGAGCAAATTATAAATATGTATCTAATGGTACTTATTTGTTTTTGCAAATGAACTGTTCAAATATGATTTTTATACCAGTTTAGCATTGTACAGTATAGCGGCTATAATATAGCCTTTTCAGATGCTAGTTAAAGCTGGGGTACATAACTTTCAAACCATAAACAATGACGCAGTATAATATAATCCATGTAACCAGTCTCGTAGCCTCGCTCTCACAACAGCTGGGCAATACTTTTTTTTACAAGTATGTAACAGATTCTTGCTGTTGGGACCAGCAACATGTACCAAAAAGTGAGGTACCCCAGCTTTAATGACAATGACTTGGGTATACTTGTTCCAAGTGCTTTCAGAACATGTTTACAACAGACTTCTCTATAAGATTAATAAGTAAATACCTTACATTTAGATATTTTAAAGATGACTTTAGTACTATGTATTACTTTTGCAAATGGACGAGCTCCTTTCTGTGCTGTAACAACATCACTATTATACCAAAAACAAAGCAGACCACAAAATGGAGTAATACTTTATAAAAAAGACCAAGTGCTAAGCTGCTCGTCTTGCACAATCAAAACAAACTGGTAGCTCATTATTATGGACAAAGGGTCTTTGTTTTAGAAGTTCCATTCTGTCCTTGTTTGTTGCCAACAAATGTATGTTACATATTATGAGTATCCCATGATTGTAAAAACGTATCCTGGTCCTTTCACCATGATTACTAATATTTACATAGACATTTGTCATATTTCATACATGATCGTTTTAGGAAAACCTAGTGCACTCAGATTAAGAGCTTTCCCGTCACTGGACAACAACTCAAACTGCAGGGGGAGCTACTACATTACATGTCAACTGTATCAGGTCCCAGTCAGAGCAGACTTGAAAACCAGGAAACCAACTCTGGGTTTGTAAATACTCTGATATTCACTGTAACATTGTATCCTCTGGAGATGTACATAGTGTAAGAACATGATCATCGCTGTAGCGCATGTGTCACTCCTGGAAACGCTGCTTTGTGTTCATAAAAATGAATTGGATGTGGTCTAGCATGTTTGGCATGTTCCTGCAATTATGTGTAGGTTTGTGACCATCTCTGCATGTGAAAGCTAGATCCTGTCAGACATGAAGCTAAGCAGGGAAGGGCCTGGTTAGTACTGTGATGGGAGACCTCTGGGAACACCTAGTGCCACATGTGGGGCGGCTGTGTGTGTGAATGGTCGGAGGGGGCCGATGGCACATACTGGTTTCCTCGCTTCCACCAGTGTGCCCCAGGGCTGCTGTGGCTACTGTAGCTGTTTATCACCACCATGTATGGAGTGAAAGAATAATGACGTGAAGCTTTATTGAGTGTCCAAAACTGTGCTTTTTAAACTAAAACATTAAAAAAAAAATCTAAGTGAATTTTACGCCACCATCACTATGAACAGGACATCTGATCTATCACTTTTTCAATACTAAAATTAAATATGGCTATAAACAGAACAAAGGGTCTCTTTAGGAGGAACTAATAACCACAAATATACAGTACAAAGGTAAGTCATGTACATACAACATACAGCTAAACAATTACATTCATGTTTGTATAGCTCTAAATCACAACAGTGGTTATCTCAGAGCACTTTACAAAACAGTTGATTTTCTAAACAGAGATCAGGGAATCAAACATAACAAATGCAGTGATAAAAACCACATAGAGCCATTGGTCCATAAGGGGCAGATGACCAAATGCCCATAAATGTTGAGAAAAAAACCCCATTACGGCTGCCTGTAGGTCCATCAATTATAATGTGGTATTTTGAGACGAGAGCTTTGAAAAAACCCGACTACTACACCGCCCCTGATGCTAAAGTGATAAACATCGTATTACTAATGATATTGGAAATTAACGACAGCAATCAGTGCTGCCATCCCGGTTTATTATTCTGCATGTGGTGCACGGTTGCCAGGGCCGACAGAAGCATGCGCTCACACACAACCGGCTATTCAGGATTTCAAAGCACCACAATTCCCATAAGATAAGGCACGCATGTTTTGGAGAGGTCAGTGGTCACTATATAGGCAGAAATCATAGTTAAAAGAGACATATAACTCTATTAAGTACACTTTTTGAAGTTGAAGAAATATTGTCTACCTTTATTGTACAAAGGGGAAGTTTATTTGTAAATCACAGTTCATACACAGGGCAACTCAAAGTGCTGAACAAACCAAGATAAAAATAAAAATCATGTATAATAATTCTTCTATGAGATAAGATGCAAAATTAACATGTAGATTTCTCCATGTGAGAGGAATAATGCTTTTATCTTATCTTATTTTTGTTAAGCAAAATCTACTTTTAGATTTTAACCATGTTATCTCATTGTTTCCCATCATTAACAGACCTGAATGTATTTTTACATCCATCCACCCTAAGCTGCTTTCTTAGTCCTGTAATAGTATGATGTCAATTGCATAGGTGTGTTTGCAGACTGTGATTTTCTAATTTGGAACAACATTTATTTTTAAACATAATTATACACCTCCCTCTGGTGGTAGCACAGGGATGGGGCTGGCTGATGGCTTATATATCCTTGACACATGTTTCACCATATATATATATATTTTTTTTACCAAAGATCTGATTTCTCATTCTAAAAAATGAAATAGTAAATAGTCTCATTATCATTCATAGCTAAAAAATATTATTTCACACATTTTCTTTCTTTTTTTCTTCCCGGCTCAAACATCTTTTGCTTCACCCAGAACTGAGATACCTTAGTTTATCGTGAATCCTATTTATTACGTAAATTTAATATTATATTAATTATATTTTGGACAAGCATGGCCGTGCCTTTCCCAAGGACACATCATTATTGTGGGATGAGACCACAAGGGCACATTTATTTGTATGGCACAATTCATACAAAGAGAAACTCAAAGTGCTTTTCAAAAACAAGAGAAGAAGCCTTGAAATCATGCATGTGAAATATTAATATTCACACAACATACAAGATTGACAAGACACAATGTTAATGTGGTTCAATTTAAAATTTTGGCCACACTATTTTTTCAAATGTTTTTTTTTTGTTATTCTCATTTAAGCTGATTTTTGCTGATTTTGCTGTAATTCAACTTTGAATGTGCAACTAGCGACAGACTCATGAGATATACCAAGCCTTTTTGTCTCATAATGTTGATAATGGCCTGACAGTTTGCAAAATCCCCAAATACAACATCTCAGAAAATTTGAATATTTTGAAAAAGTATGGAACTTTGCATGTAACAATATTCTAATTTTCTTTTTTTCCGAGTTTTCTGTGTGCCGTATTGCCCATCGTCTGCATGTGTGCATAATCTTGGGGCAACTTTATCTTGGAAGTTTTTCTTTTCTCACGATTACGGTTCTCTTATCTCCTACGACTATACAGCAGACCATGATTCATTCCTGTGTGATCTCAAAGATGTGCCAGTGACATCAGAAACATCTCCAAAACTGCATAATAAGCATCCCCTAAACACAGCCTGTTATCCTCATGCTGTAAAACCAAACTCATGAGCCATCTTTTGTCCATCCTGCCACCATTATTCTCATCAAGGAAGAAAAAAAAACTCCCAATGGAAGCTTGAGATGAGAACCTCTTGAGTGGAGCAGTTCACAGGCCCCGGTCCAGTCTCAGGTCAGCTCCACTAAAACATGGGCTATACTCTTTACTGAACCTGAGCGGAACATTCCACTGTGAGAACGGCACAGAAGTGAGTGGAGCTACTTAAACCCGCGCTGCCCATTTGGAGCACACAGTACAGGCCAGTGTGCCGGCAACTTGGTATTCTAGTCAGACATCAAAGCCTCTTAGAAAGTGGGCTGAAACACAGAATTTATCCACTTTTTCCCATAATCAGTCAGATGTTCTATAGCCGATTATAAATATGGCAAATATAGCTACATTAACTATCAAACTTGTATAAAGACACAATGATGACAATGATTTATCGATTTGTTCACTGTAATATACTTATACTTTCACTCCATTGTCCCAGCAGGGAACTTTGTCCTCTGCATTTGAACCACGTTGGTCATTTTCAATTTCGGTAGAGCCTTTGTACAGTGGACCGAGGACCCTCATCCACCTGGAGCACCTGGAGGAAACTTGCGCACACACAGGGAAAACTCCACTCAGAAAGACCCTTGTGGTGGCGCTTTGGCGTTGGAAAATGACGCGTGCCTTGAGTATCACCTGAAACCAAAATAAGATAAACCTTTATTAGTCTCACAGTGGAGAAATTCCAGTGTCATCGTTGCACATTACAGCAGAGAAAGGAAATAAGAGCACTCAGATTGCACACATCAAAGTTTATTATTTAAGATAATAGACAATAAATACACTAAAAATAGAAAAATAACGGTGAAACTGAAGGGTCCAGTTAGAAATGTCAATCCATATAATTATTCTTTTTGCAGGAAAACAATTACAAAACAGTAAAATGACAGAAAATAATACCTTTTGCCGCTGTAACTTTTGGCACGGTAAATATCCATATGTCCTCAGCACCACACCTGTATCATAATTAGCACTGGGTTTGTGTGCGAAACATTATCAGGTAAAATGCAGCGTTTTTGTCCCACAGACCTTCATCAGGCTCTCAGGTATTAAAGGGTGTGACCTACTGTACATACTGTATACACATGGAATATTGTTGTGTTCTATTTGTAATAAAACAGCAAACAATCACAGTGTCAGTATGTGGAATTGTAAGTGAGAAAACAAGCCTGTAATACATTTTGGAATGAGGCTTTAACATTACAGAAACAGCAATGCAGAAACGAGGAAGTTGAATATTTTTTCATTCACCAAATGATGTGACCAAGTTAGCATAGTTAGATTGTTGTAAGAAAATATTTTATACAACTTTCTGTTGCCCCAACAAACTACTGTTAGAATGGAAATGTCTTTCATTAAGCTCATTAATTATTCCATTTACTGGATGTGCCTTGTTTTTTTTTAATACATGTCGGATGAAGAGACAAACAAAACAATTAAAGAATACATATAACACATACTAAACATTGCATTACACACATGACAGTACATACAGTGTATATGCAAATGTTACTCTTGCACAGAACAGTGGTAGTTACTGTCTCTGTTCAGCTGACAGCACCAGGAACATGTCAGGCCAAAGGAAAAGGGAATCCATCCAAAAGAGCAACAACATATTTTGAATAAACGCATAAATAAAGTGACTTTTCTGTGTCGAGTTCCTCCAAAGAATAAAAGCTAAACAAGTTCCATGTCGTATCCTTGGCTTAGATGAACAGTGCACGGAGCAGGCGACAATATTCCATAATTCTCCTGCACATCCATTTACCTCATGAATATGCACAGACGGGACTGATATTTTGGACAGTTTACAATTCTAGAGCAGAAAAGGGCAAACTGCGGGCTGGGGGCCACAAGCGGCCCAATTCACATTCATATCCGACCCCCAGACCCTTCCCAGAAATAATGTTAAAAACATTTATCTGTAAATCAGTCTACAATGTTCGTCCTTTTTAGGTTATGTTCCAGTTTTGGTACAATCCAGGAAAAACCAAAAACAATGACCAAGACCCATTATCAATTATTTAATAAATTGTCCAAAATACCTTCATAAAAAGGCTAAAACTAAACAATTACCACAGATGAGCTATGAGCAAAACACGTTTCCCTCTCCTTCTCTTCATTCTGTAGATTTTTTTTATTAAATTTAAATAAAGGTATAACACAATAAGCTTTCACTCAAAATATCCAAAATGTTTTTTCCACATTGAAGTAAATGGTTTGGCCCTTCACTATGTGACATTATCCCAACGTGGCCCTATGGATAAAATAATTGACCACCACTGGTCCAGAGGAAGAAGAGGCCTGCACCTTTATCATTCATTATCGTGCAGAATATCTACGTCCGTTTTGACTTTTGTTGGAAATGATTGCACTTTTCAAATGAATAATTATGACTTTCTATCTCCCACTCCATGTGTGGGTTAGAAACATAAGATACACAGGCTGTACTGGATAGCACTCTCGCTTCTCAGCAAGAAGGTCCTGGTTCAAATCCCGGTCGGAACAGGGTCTTTCTGAGTGGAGTTTACATGTTCTCCCGTGTCTGCGTATGTTTCCTCCAGGTGCTCCGGTTACCCCTACCACTAAAAAAACATGTGCGATCGGCAAAAATCCTTCTGCTGCGTTAAACCCAACCAAGCCGAGCAACATACAGCCCCCAGTGCTCCTGATGGATACCCTAGTGGCATCAGAATACAAGGCAATTCAAAGTGCTTCACAAGAGCCATTTAAATTTCCCTCGCTTGCTTATCTCTACGGAGATAAATATAATGCACCTTTACCTTTCCCTTTAATATACATTTTACTTAATTATTTTTCTTGACAAATAAATATGTCTTGTCAAAAGAACTGGCACTGAAAACAAACCAGCAGAATAGCTTTGTCTCAAGATAAAAAAACATCTGACTGATCATGTTTGCTTGTTGTTGCCCTTCTCGGTTAATCTCTCCTCCACTCCGCCTCCTATAATGTCCCGGGAAACTCATTACTATTATAATCGCAAAATATGGAAGCTATCAGCATCTGTTTGCATTATTCATTCGGTACGTATTGATGCTGTTGGTTATGGGTAATGCAGCGCCTGCACTACAAAAGGCACATTTTAATGGCTGTGTTTCTGTTCCTACGAGCCTCCACTGCACACATGTGGCATTATGATTTATTAGAGCTGGGATCGGTGGAGTCCAACAGCAGCTGGGACAGAGAGAAAATGCTGAAACTGTTGCAACATGTACGCGGCAGCTATAGTGGAGGACGGAAGACGGAACGGGAATGTATGCAACAAGCGATTTACAAAGAGGTTGGCTTATTTTAGAACACTGGAAATGTATTCATGCCGTCAGAGAGGGCTCTTGTGTGCCGTGTTTACATAAAGATTAAAATAATGTAGAAAAGTCAATAGATTTTAACATGATCACGACAGTACACTGCAAAAAGTGAGGGAAATTAAGTCAAAAGATGATCAAGATGTCTTAATTTCTGACTTCTTTTAAACAGGATTTGAAAGGAGAAAATAAAGTAATTGTGACAACCCCAGTCTTGTCTGGTTTGTGTGTTGCTGCTGGCTTTTTCCTACGTTCAGGATTCAGCCAATGGGAAAGCTGATTGGGACTGGCAGCACCTGGAGATGGGTGGGACCGGCCACGTACAAAAGTGCTGTCAGGAAGTCAGCGGAGCTCTCTCTCACACTTGGCAGTAACAGCCTTTTAAATTAATATACTATTTTTGTGCATTTTGAAACATGAGTGGACTCCATTTTTGTCCGAACCGCAAACCAGCTCTTGAATTAAGACTAAATAATGTTGTTTTTTTTTCCCCATTGGCAAATCTTGTTTTCAGACAGTCAGAATGTTTGCAGTGTACTTTAATGGCATTTTTTATCTACAAATGTAAAATAGCTGTTATCTAATAACGACACATTTACAGCAATATTGATTAACTTGTATCGTCCCTATAAAAAAAACTAATAAATAAATGAAAAAACACGTACAAAAAATTAAAAAGACCTGATTAAAGCAATATTTTCCTCATGTCTTATATATTTTTGCAGTGTATTGAACATTAACCAAACAATACAATACAACTGTTTATTGTTTGCTTATATAGGATGAATTGGCTTGATTTCCTCTCTGCAAATGTCAGGAGTAAAGATTTAGGGCTATATAAAAAGAAATGTAATTGAACGTACTGGTAAATGTTTGTTTTATGCATGGCACCAGAGTTGGGCACCAGATTATGACATTTACGACACATGGTGAAGTCATTGTCGTATCTATTGACTGCAGTTGTTTCAGAAGTTAGAGAGGATTGCAGCACTGGTTTCTTTCTTCATTTTTTTGTAAGTTTCTTTTTGCAGTTAGTTGTAAGTACTGGATAAACAGAACCGCTGCAACCACCTTGACCTCAGTTGAATCCCCTTAAAGACGTATTCATAATTTAATAACGTTGGTTCAAAGGTATGCACAAAAAACATGTTAAAAAACTTGAAACGGCACAAAATGAGCCTGGACTTTGATGTGAAGAAAGACTGAGATCTCATTAGAGCTTGATGAAGTTATTGATTTAGAAATACTTAGTGATGTAATACCCGATTTATTTTCTAATGAGTTCATAAAAATGCGTATTACTACATACAAGTTGTATTATAATCCGTAATTTAATTGAAAACTTGAGCTCATTGATTCAGCTGTGTATGAATTCAGGCCGTATAAAAGTGCTGAGTAGAGAGTTAGCGTGACGCCCGCTCTCCTCCAATCACAGAACGAGGCTGCGTCCTCTAGCCTCTACAGCGCTGCTAAACACAGTAGCATGTTAGCAGAATTGACTATAACTCCTCTTGCTGTAACTGGAAAAACAGCAAAACAGCCCGAACGACACAACAGTGAGGAAGAGAAGAGCGAACTAAAGCGAGAAAATGATTAACATAGCTAGCTTACATTGTATCCTCCGGAGAGACTTCTCTATGGGAGAGACGTGCGGGAGAGACCTGCGGGACCGTCTTGGACTATCTATGCTCGGACTACATTCGGACGCGGAACTAGCAGTAATCTTTCAGTTATACACTACCTCTCAAAAGTTTGGGGTCACATTGAAATGTCCTTATTTTATTTTTGAAGTAAAAGCACTGTAGATAACGTTAAACTAGTTTTAACTGTAAAGAAATACATTCTATACATTGCTTATGTGGTAAATGACTATTCTAGCTGCAAATGTCTGGTTTTTGGTGCAATGTTGTAATTGCTGCAAATGGAGGATTCTTTGACGAAGGCAAAGTTGGCCGTAAAAAAAATCTTATTTCAAATACAAATCATTATTTCTAACCTTGTCAATGTCTTGAGTCTATTTTCTATTCATTTCACAACGTATGGTGGTGAATAAGTGTGACTTTTTTTTTTTTTCCTTGTCGATGCAGGAGGGTCTTGTTGGACAGTTAGTGTCCAACAGAAAGGATTGGTGATGATCAGGACACTTTAGCATTCTACAACATGTATGGACATTTTCTTCTGTGTGTGCTTTATATTCTTCATGTGTTTTAACTGTTGATTTTCTGACCTGTGTTGGTGATTTCAATGGTTTTGTGAAGTCCTCTGAGATGACTTCTGTTGTGACCTAGGGCTATACAAGAATAAATTGTATTGTATTGTATTGTGTAGTATATTGTATTGTATTGTACTTTTCACAGAAAACACTTGGGTGACCCCAAACTTTTGAACGGTAGTGTATATTTTGTTAGCAGTGCGTTGCTTTTACTTTACCATTTCATCAGTGATTGTTGTACAGCTTATGCTAATGTTTGCATATAGATCGCAGATAAAACTAGATGGCTCCGTGGAATGAGAGCGTAGGGAAAATGATGTTAAAATACTCGTTTCTGCAAGGTTTGAATGTTTAGCACCTCCCCCAACTCGCTCACAGGCTTCTCATTTCCCCTACGCTGTCATTCCATGGAGCCATCTAGTTTTATTTGCAATCTATATGCAAACATTAGCATGAGCGCAACTTCTTATAAGCTGTACAACAATCACTGATTAAATGGTACAAAAGCACGCACTGCTGAAGAAATATAAAACGGAAAGATTACCGCTAGTTCCGCGTCAGAATGTAGTCCGAGCATAGATAGTCCAAGACGGTCCCGCAGGTCTCTCCAGAGGATACGATGTAAGCTAGCTATGTTCACCCAGGTTTGATATTTTCTTTGATAATTTTTCAGTCACAGCCAATTCTGCTAACATGCTACTGTGTTTAGCAGCGCTGTGGAGGCTCCAGGACGCAGCCTCGTTCTGTGATTGGAGGAGAGCGGGCGTCACGTTAAAGTCTCTACTCAGCACTTTTTTTACAGCCTGAATTTATACACAAGCTGAATCAATGAGCTCAAGTTTTCAATTAAAATACGGATTATTATGCTACTTGTATGTGGCAATAAGCATTTTTTTGACCTCATAAAAAAAAAAAATGGGTATAGCATCTTTAACTTAATCTTGTAATCTTGTGTTTCTGGGCCGTGCTGTTTCTTTTGCCTTGGGGGTTCCAGGTCAGCACTTGTCTAGTTATGTTGGAAAGTGGCTTCTGTGGTCTATCCATTTCCAACGGCGTCTCAGGATCTGCAGGGAGTGGGTAGGTTTTCTGCCACAGGTGCTGGTTGCTTATTGTGCTCGTCTGTACTTTCTTTGTTGTTGCCAAAGTGTCCTCCAGGTTTCATATCCGTAGAGGACTAATGTGAGATCCGTCTATACTCTACGGATCTTATAATAGTGCTATATTAATTGATCTTTATGGCTCCCATGTTCAGGCACACATTTGATATCCTGCTCATTTATACCTGCCTCTGTATACTGGTTTCTTCGTCTCTGAGGACTATACAAAGTTGTTAATTCACCAACAACAAATGAGAGAATCAAACCGTTTCAAACACAGGAAATGCAATAATAGAAAACACATTTGGTCCAAACGGAGGGTGATGACCAATATCCATTAATATTGATAAATGGCCATAATTGTCTGGGATCATCACTGTCCTTAGACCCTCCTGCATCGGCAAGGAACAACCAAAAGAAGAAAAAAAACAGTGGAAAAAATTAAGTAAGAACCCCCAGAGAGGCCCACATTTCGAGAGGGTTCCGCTCCCACAGACGGACGGGCTGCAGATCCAGGACCCAGGCTGTAAAATGAGGACCGAGGCCACGCGATGCAGGACTACGGTGGATCCCACGAATCTAAGTCGGGGGAGACTAGTGCACAGGTGCAGATGAAAGAGGCCGGATTCAGTGGAGTCCCATCATCACGCCACAAAACAGAAAATGGGACAACGGGTGAATAGCAATGAATGGACAGCTTATGGACAGTCATAAGACAGATGAAGAAGGAGAGAGGAGAGGATAGTGCTCAAGTAACCATACTTCATTGGGAGGCAACATTTCAGATTTCTGCAGCTACAAACAAGAACAGTCTTTCGTAAAATGTCAGACAAGCTTCTAATCTGACAATGTTCAAATCCAGGTTCAAAACAGTTCTCATCAGCCGTGCATAAAACAGAAGGATCTTATCTCTCACTCTTTTTAATGTACTGTTATTTATTATTGTAGTGACTTCTATGGCTGTATCTATCTTTTACTAAGTTGCCTTGTGTATCTCCTGTGCTACACAAATAAACTTGCCTTTTTATCTGCTACTCTCCATGACTGTAGTCCAATAAACATGCCGTCCACTCGTCCGTTCGTCCCACAGGCCACAGTGAAGCGTCTGCACCTCTGGCTTTTCCCTGGTTTAATATTTTTTACATCTCTTTTTCTTCTTATAATTGTGCATTTGCTTAATTTAACATGACCTACTTTTGTTTACATCCAGTCCTGGCGCGGTTCTTTGGTCTTTAGCAGCTTTATGACCCTGGCGTCTCACTCCTATCACCTCCACCCTGATAACTGCTCCACTCCACAGCCAAACCACTCACACATGTAGCTAACCAGTAACTCCCCATATCTCAGACGTGTATACCTTGTTTGTCTTGGCTGTTTTATTGCCTGTTCGCGATCTTGCTTCTGAAGGACAACTCTTTAGAATGAGGGCATGGAAGGATCTACGAGTTGAATTTGATGTGTTGTTTAATGCAGTGTGAAATTCCCAACACATATTAGGTAAAAATAAACGATAACAAGCACAGACTGTCATATATTCTCACGCCATTTTTAAAGAAATGGTTATTTTCAAACCAAACTTGCTTTCATGTGTAGCGTGCGTGCGCGTGTGTCTGTGTGTGTGTGTGTGTGTGTGTGTGAGAGAGAGAGTTTGTGTGTGTGGGAAGGGGCCTTGTGCTTTGTGTGTATGTGTGTGTGCTTGACCTGTAACAATGAGCAATATGAATGTGAGGTTTTACACAATCTGTGCACTTGAGGACTTGATCTTTCCTGTATTCTGGCCAAAGTAAACTGTATATCCTTATATTTTTGTAATTTTTAATGTAATATACCATCAGCCTGCAGGGACTATAGCTGGAAATTAGGTCTTGAGCTATAACCTGGTACTATGGATCTTTCCCCTTGAGCTCAATATTTATTGTACACTGTCCCTGTCACTTTAAATAAATAAATACACTCAACTAAACTACAAAATCAAAGCTCTCGCCAGACTACTGTTAGGCAATGTGGAATGATTGGTTTGTGTTCCTACAGTAGCAGTGGACTGAATGATAGACATCATAGTCATAAGGCCATTGTAAATGTGTTGAAGACAATGGACTAAATGTTTATGGTGGTGAAGTTGAAAACAAGAGAAGACACATGATCTTCTTTTCTTGTTTTGTACACATTTTTCTTTTTTCTCTTTCTGCTGATTTATGAAGCCGTTTGGTCCCATCTGCAGAAAAAAACACACAATATTCCAGTTAACAATATTAACACTGCATGATCTATAGCAATGCCATACCAGTTGGCAATGGACAATAACAATAACATAATATGACATTAATATGAATCCCACCAGAGGCATTTAATTTGAGCAGCATAATGCATAGATCACATAAAAAAACATAGGAAAGCTTGTGACACTATATACAGCTAGATGCACAGTAGCGACATGAAATTAAGCTCTTTGGTAATCAGGACATTATGTCTATTACCAACAAGTTTGATAATTGGAAGATAATCTGATTCATAGTTTGACATCACCTTTTAGTGATGGTTGGTTTTAAAATGCGGCAATTTTCTTCAAAATGGAAGCAGGGTGAACATGGAATTCTTGCTGAGACATATTAAGAATATGTTTTGGTGCATGTCATGTGGTATGTGTATGTACAGTATATAGACACAGTACAGACCTATTCTTCAAATCATACTGGCACAAAACAACTCTGGAAAGAAGAAAAGTGGACACTTTATACACTCTTTATATTTACCCCATTATTCTGTATCTGGAAATAAAAAGATCGATTAGAAAATAGTTATGATAAAACATGAACACATAGACATTTACTGCTCAATTACACAGGTGCATCAGTGAAAAGCCCACGTTACAGAGTGTGTCCGTCTTCAATTCCCTTGGAAAGATTTCTTATATAACTGAGGTCCAACAGGCTCCACGCACGGACAGACTGGGTTCCCAGAGGAGGTTGTGTGAAAAACACAAAAAGGTGATGGCGAAATAATGGCAAAGTAGAAAGTGGGGGAGAGGTGATGTTACAGGCAGCATCTCCAACCAACGGGAGCTGGATTCCCATGCACACAGAGACAAAGAGGGGAGCGGGCGGAGGCGTGTGAGAGTGGGGTGGGGGCAGTAAAGCGGCGGAACGGTGAGGTGAGGCACAGCTCATTCAGTGGGATCGTTGAGCTGCGGAGCTCCTCGGATTGTACAGACAGAGGACCGCTGGGTTTGGTGCGTAAAGACGCGCTCCGTGACTGAGCTGAGAGTGGACCGCGGTGCAACCTGCAGCTGCTGTGGCGTGTGAGGCCAGACAGACCCTGTGAGGGGACTACACCAAAAACTTTTTACTTCACCTGCTTTTGATCAAAGGTAAGCTGCGCTGATTTCATGACATGTCAATACAAGAATCCACGCAAGGAATGTGCGTCTTATGTTGTGTGCATTTGTTGTGAGTGGATAGATGCAATTTAAATAACATTATTTATGAACATCACCTCAAAAACAGTTACACGGGCGCAAGCAAACACTTCACACCTTTCACATTACATATTACAAGTTGATCATAATTCATTCTCTGCAGTGCATGATTGCTGAAACATTGATTCGTTTCAGATAAAACGATATAATTAACCTCTCTGTCCAACAACATTTCAATTAGAACACTTGAGCTGGAGGACCTTTGGCACTGTGCAGTGGGATTTTTCTGACATAGAATGTGTGCGCTGAGCCCCTGCACCTGCAGGACAGTCCTGTGATGAAGTTGGAACAATTTTGTTTATTTTTATTTCAAGTGAATTGAAATCGCACAGAATCTCACTCAGTCCCGGTTGTTTATAATTGAATAATAGCTTAATGACTTGTCCTTTGTTCAACAAGTCAAATTTATTTGTGCCCAAAGTTGGTGATAGAAAAATTATATTCAAATCGTTTTTCTTCATGGCTCCTTTGCTCCATGATGCCACCGTGCAGCGCTCAGATCAAAGGTGTGCAATGTTTCACAGGGAATTTCTGGATGCGTAAAACAGTGCGCCCTTCGCCTCCCACCTCTGGAGCCAATCACCGCAGCCCTCTGTGTACATATACTCGCGTGCACAACAGCCGCACATTACTGACGTTTACTTACGCGCACCTTTCCCCCATCAACACCATCATCAATGTCACCATGGAAACCCTTTCCCTTTGGGCCCTGGGCTGAGGGTCTAATCCTGGTCATTGAAACATAGGCTGTGTTCGTTTGTGGAGGAGACCTTGGACCTCGTAAAAGCCTTTGGAGATTGCCCGAGTGTCCAAGCAGATAATTCGTTTTGTCCCTCTTCTGCAGGGTTTTGTACATGAATGAACACATAAGCAGACATGGGGAAGCTCGCACGTGCTTAAAGGCTGGATGATTCATTTAACATATAAATGCATGGCCTTAATCTGTGAGGTGTGGGCGGATTATTTCATTTGAGGAGCCATAACAAGATATTCCCATTAGGGTTGTATTAGTGGGGGTCTGTCTGGGCAAATGAACGTGTTTGTTTACAAGTTCATTAGAGAGGAGAAAAATAATCTCACACTTGTTTTCATAGAATAGATAATATTTCACTATTTCACCCAAGTCTAGGGTTAGGGTCTACCGAATGTAATTTTCACCAATTATAATCTAATTTCAAATAAGGTGACGGTTTTGACATTGCAGCGGAGGCAGAGTGGTGGGTTTGAATCCTTCTTGGCACAGCCTCTTGAATTTTGCATGTTCTCCCTGTGTATGCATAGGTTTCTTCCACCACTAAAAACATGTGACATCAGTTTCTGTTACCCATGCACTAATTATTCTCATTTTAGGGGCAGTACTCCCCTGAAAATGAGATTCTGAAATATATAATATCCTTGATAAATAAAGGTAAATTAATAGAAAAATCTGTCAAAAAAGTCTTAATTGCCTCCTCGCACATACGTCTAACCCTCCAAATCATGGGTCAGAAGTTGCAGGCCCAGACACGGCCCCTGCAGCACTGCTTCCAGTCTACAAACAGTCCGAACCGTATTTCTCTGCGTGCTTCCTGTTAGCCATCTGTGAATGTGTTTAATTAGGAGACACTCCACTTTGAGTCCAGGGAGATCCAACATCCCTGTTTGTGTGGTTTGGTGCTTAACAGACTGTGAGAGATGCTCCCATCGGGGGGTGGGGAGGGGGTCGTTCAGCCACTCATATTGTAGGTACATTCACCGCGGAAAAGACAAGTACTACCGCAATCAATAACACCTAAGTGATAGCTTCTTCAATGAGTCTATACTTGGTTGGAAATTACATTCAGACAATCAATCAAAGTGTTGAAAATCCTAGGGCTGTTTGATAAGTGCAATTTCCTTCAGAAAGGCAATTACGTCAAAGCATAGTGTCCAAATAGTTACCATGGAGATTCGCCAAAAAGACATACACATATACAGTTGAAAATAGTGTACTCTGTGTGTGAGGTAGAGTTGTGAATGTTGCACCCACAGGGAGTGAGAGAATACTCATGGTGATGTATAGGATGAGGTCTATAGTAGGCGACAGAATTATAGCGCAAGAATGGAGTGAGTTCGGAAGTAGACTCGGCACTGGAGGACGTTTTTTTCTTGCTGGAATTTACTGGAACTTGTGCATTAAGAGGTGGATGTGGCATTACAAAGGAGTGACGATACACAGTTTGCCAAACCGACATTAGGGGCCTCATTTATCAAGTGATTGCTTGCGTGTGAACGTGATCAACAACCCTTGAAACTGGTGAAAACTGGTTTTTCATGCACATGTCGTGTTGAAACTAAACCAGGGAAATTGCACATGCTATTTTACTTTCTACCCACGATTTAGCATTTGGATTGATACACGGGGCCCTTAGTGCACTGATGATTTGGGTGATTGTTTGAATAGATTCCCTAAAATATCTATTATAGAGGAAATTAGAGTTAGAGTTTAAAACATAATGGTTTTTTTGTGGATGTACGCACTCTGCTTCCATTGAAGATTTGTACCTTTGCAAAAAAAGCAATAACATTACAGTATAATGAGAGCAGAGTCTGGCATTATGCGTCCGGTTCATGAGGCCAGGTTTATAATGGAGTGTCAAAGTCTCTCCAACTGCGAGTGCTTATTTGCCCATTCATTGCTCCTCTCCTTAGCCTCAGCTCTCCTCCAGCACTCGCCAGTACTTGAGTAATCCTCCTGGGAACATGCCGATGTAGCCAAAGAGCCACCCCAAAACATCCTTTTGCACTCATCGCACACCTGACCTCAACTTTTTCATACCACTTTCATATCGTGCAATTTAGAGAGTTTTTAGTCATTTTAACACAACATTCCAGGCTTCTCCCCACCATTACGTTGTCCGAGGGGCATGTACAACAGAATGGCTTGGCTCTACTATGGGAACAGTTTGGGGGCCTCTCCCATGGGTCGAAGGAACAAAGAGCCGGGCCTAGCCTTTGCTTCTGTTTGACTGCACAGGAACAGAAACACAAGCGCTTATCCACCTACTCTGTTGATTTCCGGTGATGAGGCCAGTGTCATTACCATGTCCACAATCGCAGGAAAAAACAGCCTACATTTATGGATTAGAAATGGTCGCAGTCCATGCAGTAGTAGTAAGCTTTGTAAAATTGCCTTTAGATTGTGCATGGCGTAATCTGGTAATTTAATACATACAAAAACGTTCCATTTGAACCCCTTTATAACCCATTATTGGCATCTACTGTACGGCCATATCCTAAAGATGTCTTTGAGAAAATAGTTAGATAGATACATTTTTTATGATCTATATGATCCTGGTCGCAGGTCAAGGCTAAAGCAGGTCACTCTCTCATAGCCGGGAGATTGTAAACAAAAGATTACAGTACATAGATTAGGTAAACCAGTAGAGGAAACCATCAAGCAATTTTCGCTGAGCTTTTTTTTTTTTTTTTTTACTGTTGGATATGCTTTCCTTAATATAGCCCCTTGTGGTCGTATGTGTTGCCACCCTCATCACGTTGGCACCTGCTCCATTGGAATTCAGGTCAGCGGGGGAAGAGCTCTGTGACTGTGCCCATCCATGATGTGAACAATCCAACTATTGTACCACAAGAAAGGATTCCTAATTAAAGCATATGATGGGAATCACAGCACACAAATACAAGTTCTCATCTGAACAATGGCAGAAGCACGCTGGTGGTCCCATGCAGCCTTGTAGGTTCTACTGTCTCATCAGAAAAACAAAATCAATCGACTGGAATGAATTAAAGCTGGTCACGTGAGACACCATGAGTTTGTAAATAAGTTGATAATTTTAATTATGCTTTTGTATGATTTAGCTATAATTTTGTTTTTAGTTTATGTACTTGTCTGGTGCACACTGGGGACTTTTGCACATGTATTCCAATGTGGTTTTACTGCAAATGGCAAATAAAATGAATCTGAATCATATGTATAATTTCAGTCTCAAAAAACCCAAAATGGAAACTATGGATTTCCTCAAAGACACAACATCTTTATAGTAGCAGTAGAATGGAATAAGTAAGTAAGTAAGTAATATAGTAAGTGAGTAAGTAAGTAACTAATCTTTTTTTATGTAGTGCATTCCTCAGACCACGGTCACACAAGTAATCATTTTGGGGAATATGGTTGGTTAAATTTGGTTAATACAAAATCTTTACCAGGGTAACACTTTTATAGTCCTCTATATACAATGGTAGCTAAATGTCATTTTTCTTTCACTTTCAATCATTGTGGCTCCTGCTCTGCATTCGAAACATTAGTGAAATGACATTCTACAACGCTAACAGCCTATATTATCATTCCGCCAGTGAACTTGAGAAATTAACTCCATTCAGTGTATGCTTCTCGCTCGTCTTGTGTATGAAGAGACGGCAAATAGAATGTAAAAGAATTGATGAAGCTTCCATACGGCGACAAAGTGAGCAGACTCGCATACCATCAGTCACTATACGAGCTAACGGAAGCAACACAATCAGCTGTGTTTTGATTAAGGATTAAAATTCCAAGAGTTTTTTTGTTTTTTTTATACATTTTGCCACCCCATCGCCTCACACCCATTTAGTCTTTTTTTCTTTTTGTAGCCAGTCCACAAATCTTCAAATAAGTGCGTAATGGTATAGTGTGAGGCGCTCTTTGTCCTTTGCCGGCTGCTGTTAATGGCCTCTTCATAGCCAGGGTTGTGGGAGCATGAGGTTGAGCTTAATCATGAGGAGTTCCATCACTTTTGGACAGTTTCGGGGGCCGCCACAGAAGGGAAGCATGCGTGAGAAAAATACAATACAGGCCAAATCTAACCTCATGTATTTCTTCTTATAGTTTTTTTTTTTAACGCATATTTTACCAAACCCTTCTTCTTTGCCCTTCCATCTCT